TTTAAGCTGGAGGCTGTTGTCACAGGAGCAGAAGGGGGAGCTGCCTGCAGTCTCCCTCCCACCCCCCACCCCCACTATCCCCATGATCAAGTTTACTTGAGGAAAAGGCTCTTCCAAATAGCAGCCAAGGAGGAAATCAATGAAAATTGATAGAGAAATGTAAAGCAGCTGTCCGCTGTGCGCGCGCGCGCGCGTGTGTGTGTGTGTGTGTGCGCGCGCGCGCGCGCACAGGCAGCAAAAGTGTGCTGCCTGGACCCAGGCTGACCTGCTTAGGGCCGTGTGTGTGTGTGTGTGTGTGTGTGTGTGCGCGCGCGCGCGCGCGCGCACAGGCAGCAAAAGTGTGCTGCCTGGACCCAGGCTGACCTGCTTAGGGCCAAGAAGGCCAGGGGCTGGGAGTCACTCCAGCCGTGCTGCCAGAGGGGTGCTGGTGGCTGGGGGAGGGGCAGCCGCCAAGTCTCACTCGAGTTAAGAGAGAGATTAATATATTCAATCTGCTCAGGGTAATTGAGGGAACAATCGGAGTGTTTTTCTAAAGCCCATAAAACTGCCTCATTTGCAAGGAGGCGCTGACCTGCTCCAATCATCTGTATGTGCTGGAGCTCAGGAAGGGAGGAGGAGGGGCGACAGTATAGTCCCTATTCTGAAGGACTAGGGGACAGTAGCCTGGGAGGGGGCCAGCAGGCAGGGTCTAACCTGTTCTCACCTTTCCCACCTCCCACCTCTTAGTAGCATCCCAAGCACTGCCTTCTGGAGCCTCTGTTTCCCCACCTGTGAAATGGGCCATGGGCATCCTCCTCCAACAGGAGAGTGGGAGGGAGTGGCAGAAGGGGAGGCTTCTCTAGATGAGGCAAGCTGGCAGGGACACCAAAAGTGTGGCACCATGGTGAAGGCGTGTGAGCATAGAGGTGCCCAGCTCCCCCAGCCGGGCCAGCTCCCCACCCCCACCCTAAGATGAAACAGGCAGTAAAGTTAATGAAATCCACATTGTGTGCCTTTCTCCGCGTGAACCATTCCAGTCTCCAGGGCAATAGAAACAGCGTATGCAATAGCGAGCAATAAAAGGCACAATGAATTTAAAAGAGTGAAAGGGGAGGAGAGGGAAGACGTGGAGTGCACCGGGCCGGAGGCAGTAAGCGGAAGGCCCGGTGCACAGGGCCAGAGCTCTGGCTGGCCGGAATGGGACCGGAGGGGATGGGGGTGGGGAACAAGGGAAAGGTATGGGGGAGAGGGACCGGGAGGCAGGGAACAAAGGGAGAGAGACGGAGCCAGAAGTTTAGGGACAGAGGGCAGAGGGGATGCCCCGGACCAGCCACCGCCAGCTCCGTTCCTCTCCACTTCTTGTTAATGAAAGCCCCCAGCCTGTCGGTGCCAAAGCCACAATCAGAAGCCACAGGCTTAGAGCCAGGTGCTCAGCATTTGGTGATTGCTTTATTAGCTTTTTCTTCTTTTTTTTCTCCCTCCGGGGCAAAAAGAAAAAAAAAAAAAGGTGTTTTAAATGGAAAGAATAAGAAAAAAAGACCCTTGAAAGCGTCATTTAAAAGGCTCCTGGGGGAACGGAATCGTTTCCATGAAACAAAACTGCGATTGTTTGGAAGAGGTAAATGCCGGGCTGGAGTGGGGGGGGGGGGGAGCCCCGACACCCTCCCCTCCCCCAGCTCCCGCTCCAGTGGGAGGATGCTCGCTTAATCGCTCGCTCAGAGAGTGAGGGAGCCCCCACGATGGCTCCCACAGCTACGAGCAAGGAATTTTCAAGTTCATGTTTCCAGAAATTTTATCACTGGGAATTTCCAGCCCAAGGTTTTGCTCTTAAACAGCTCTGCCTGTGGGAATTCGTCCTGAAACCTTCAGGATCTCTCAGAGAGGTCCAGTGAGGTGCCAGAAGGAATGTGGCCCCTGAAAACTCCGTGGCTCCAGGCTCCAGGCTGTGTTGTCCTCCCCTTGCCCTCCAACCCCCCCCCAGGGAAGAATGGAGCCAGAGTCACCCCAGCCAGCGCAGCAGCCAGACTGTGGCCTGCACCTTGCTGCTCCCCTCACCCCAGGGATGCTTTCTGCCCAGCACTGGACGGGCCACCCTCATTCTAGTCAGATAAACTCCCTCTTACTCTGGGGGAAGGAGAGCTGGGGGGTGTTGGGGTAGCACAGCCATGTGGCCTTAAACCTGCCAAGAAGATAAGGAGGTAACGTCAGGGGACAGGATGGGTCTGGTGGAGCCCTGCCCAGAAAGGAAGCCACTAAACACCCATGCAGCTGGTGGCAGGAAACCTGGAGCTGGCTCCCTCCCACGCACGGGAAACTTCCCTCTGTAGCCTCTGCCTGTGCACCCCAGTCCCCCATCCGTGGGTCAGGGGCCGACGGAGTGATCTCCATCCTGGAGTCTGACTGTACCTGCTGGAAACATCCATGGGGGATCTGCCCTTCATCACCATCAACCTCCACCCCCCAGCACACACACACAGGAGGAAACCTGAGACTTGGAGAAGGGAAGGTGTTCCTTGTCGGCGTAATGTTACTGTGGGGGGATTGATTGTTCCCGTGGAGTCTCTGGGATTCGGGACATGCTGTGACCAGCACTGGTGTGTCATTTTAGGGCTATGTGTCCTGTGGGCCATGGCTGTGGAACACAATGGGTCAGAGTCAAAGTCAGTCACTGAAGTTCACTCAGAGGCCTGTCTCCTGCTGCCTAGTCATTATCATTGCATTCCTAACCCCCTTGCCCTCTGCCCACGACGCCACATTTGAGTCCCACGAGCATGATCAGTTCCGGTCTAAAAACTGACACACAGGACGCCTGGGTGGCTCAGTTGGTTAAGCATCGACTCTTGATTTCGGCTCAAGTCATGCATGAGTTCGAGTCTGGCATCAGGCTCTGCACTGGCAGTGCGGAGCCTGCTTGGGATATTCTCTCTCTCTCTCTCTCTCTCTTTCTCTGCCCCTCCCCTGCTTGCACTCTCCGTCTCTCAAAACAATAAATAAACATTAAAAAGAGAAAAACCCTGACACACAAACTGAACAACTTACGAGCTCACAATACACTTGTAAATGGAATAGATTCATTGGTTCACATGCCTGAGGCATACAGGACTGAAGATAGTCTGGAAGGAACAAAATCCATGCAGAACAGGCCTCCTGGAGGAGGTGACCTTGAGTCTACCCCCTTGCGTCCGAAGCCCAGAAATCCATTCCTGGCCCTGAACTGCATGCAATGAATGCAGTCTCCTTTCTCCAACCTTCTGGATCATGGTCGCTTCTCACCATCTCACCCTACCCCCACTTTCAGATGTCTTTCTCCTCCTCCTCAGTTGACAGCCAAGGAGAGCTGGGTGAAGTCCTTCCCTCTAGGGCTCCATTTTCTCCATCTGCACAGAGGGGAGGGAGGATGGTTTCGAGGGTCCCTGTGGCTCTAGGCCACATGCACTTCCCCAGGGAGCTGGCCACAGGCATGCAGCCCCAGCCCCAGTGTGGAGCCTCTAAGTCCCAGTTGCAGAAAGGTGCTCCCTGCATTATCTGTTCCCTACCAGTTTCCTGACCCTGTCGTCAGGGTTGTGATTGCTGACCCCCCAGGAGGGAAGCTATTTCCCTCTCCCTTGAAAGCCATTTTCTTGTCTTGGTAGAAGCAGACATCTGACACTTGAAGAGGGAGAATGGCAGGGAGATGATGGCATTAAATAACAGAAATTAGAGCTACGGAGGATGGCTCAGCCACCCCGAGGCCCCCCTTCCCTGCAGCAGCCGCCCCCTCACATGCATTCAGGGCTGCAGCCTGCAAGCTGTCTGCAAGGCCCGGCCTCTCAGCGGTCACAGAGAGCAGAGGACTGCTTCTCCCTGAGTTCTGAGGCTCTTGTGTGTGTATGCAGTCCTGTGACAAACTAGGACAGAGGGGCCAGGGCCCCAAAGTCAGGGAGCTTGCTTGCAGCCTGAGAGAGCGGAATGTCACCGAGAAACCGGGGGAACTCCAACTGCCTCACAAGCACCCAGGGCATCCTCAGCCTCCCCGGCACACAGCCCTGGGCATACAATAGGCGGTCAAAAGTATTTGTTAATAGACTGGTGAATGAATGGCTGAACAGGGGCCAAAGTGGTCCACATAACGGGCTGAGACCTGGCAAGAGAAACTGGCCCCTGGGTTCCTTTCAATCTTCCTGGCACATGCCAGCAGGTCACGTTGTATCTTTCCCCTGCACCAATGGTCTCCCCTTTTGCCTTCCGAATTGAATAGCCACCTAGCTCTTCTGCCGTCGTACCCTGATTCCCTCCACTTTCTCTGGCCCAGCAGCCCTCCCCGAGCCCGATCAGCCCACCACCTGGGCTCTGCTAAAGCCCCAGGCCGATGCACTGCCCGGGAGAGGGGCTGCAGGAAAAGCCAGCCACCTTCAGCTCCAGGCTTAGCTCAGTCTCCTGTTGCCACTGAAACCCTTTCCTTCTCCTCAGGCAGCTTATTCTAGTCTCTCCGCCGGGAATACCTTCCCCAAAGCCCAGAATTGACATCCTGAAATCTCACCCACCTAGCGCAGGGTCTGACAGGGTCAGCGCCTAACCAACGTTTGATGGCTGAATGAATGGGTAAGTGAGTGATGAACAAATAAACGAGAGACTCATCTCCAATAACATCTCTTCTGAGGAGCCTTTGTGAGGCTCCAAAATCTGACCTGCACACTCCCTCACCAGAGTGCCCCTTCCAGCACATGGCTTCCAGGACTGCATGATGCCCACACTGTGCCCACCGTCTTTAAGCTGGGTGGCACCATGAGCTCCAGGACTGACCTAGCTTTGGATTCCATGCACGACTGTGCACGAAGTTCCCCAGGAAATGTTGTTGGTATTAAATGGACTCAAGCATCCTCGGGGATGATCCTCAGTTTCTCCACCCATGATATGGGCTGCCAGCTTCCACCTACACTGGCTTTGAGGCCCACCAGACACATGTCTCTGCCCGGCTGCCAAACACGACCATACTGGGAAACCCTCCTTCAGCTTGTACAAGGACGAGCAAACTCTCTTACTTGGGTCCGAGGCTGCCAGAATCCTGATTCAGGGCTGAGTCCCTCCTGGCCGTGGTGGGAGCTGGAGGGGCTTGAAGGGGGACACACACAGACTTCCGTCTCCTGGTCACTTCGGGCATCTCTCAAAACCTGGTGACAACGCGTGAGATTGAGTTTGCGGAATGAAGGGTCTCGGGGACACTTACCCACTGGGCAAAAGACATCCCACCCCGTGGTGTCCCTGCTCTGTGTGGGCTTTGCTCTATTTTTCTGTCATCCCCTTCGGACTGGGGGTGACCTGCCTCCATTCTCAGACTGCACGTTCCCCAGAACTGAATGAGGCCACCCTGGGAAGTTCTGTTGCTCAGTTCGGGATTTGGGGACATCCAGGCTTATCAGAGGCTCTGGGTCTTCTCACTGGGGAAGCAGTGATGCCAGAAGCTGAGCGGGGTCCCAGGGAACACCCACCTGCAGCCTGGGCAGCTGGGGCTCTGGGCGTGATGACACGGGTCCTGGCTGGCCGGCCCCCGGAGGGCAGTTTGGGGCTAGAGGCTGAGGGGCCCGGTGCTCGCGGAAGGCCACGCTGTAGGTCAGGCCCCCGCAGTGGCGGGCCGTGGGGTCCGCGCTGGCACGCAGCAGGGCCAGGCTGCCGCAGTAGTGGTACAGGTCCTCGTGCTCCCGCGCCCACAGGTTCATGCGGGGCTGGTCCGGGCGCGGGAAGACCGGGAAGATGGCCTCGCCCACTCGCTGGGCGGGGTGTCCCGAGGCCCCGCCCAGTCGCAGCGCCTCGACGCGCAGCTGCGCGTCGTGCTGCCAGTCGTTCTTGCAGAACCCTGGCGGGCGGGGTAAAGTGGGGGGTGTGGGGTGGGGGACACATGGGCTCAGGGACGGTGTCTGGGGTCTCCCTGCCTCCCCCGGGGGGTGGAGATGACTGGCAGGGCCCTCAGGAAACCTGGGGGGACTGCCCTTTGGCTGGAAGCTAAGAGGCTTGGCTAAGATTTCCCTGCGGTTGACACCTCTAGGGCCCCTCACTTTACCGATGTGGGGATGGGACGGCTCTTACTCGGGTACATGGTCCTGTATAAGGCCACGTGGAGGGAACAGTGCAACCTGTCCTTGATCCTTGGCCACCTGAAGGCCTCGGACTTGGTTTCCGCATTCCCTCACATCTCTCCTCCTCTAGGTAGCCTGCCTAGATGGCCTTACAGTCTAGGTGTGGATCTTCTCCTTCCAGATCACTTAACTATTCTCTGCTTGAGATTCCTGCCTCTCTACCTAGTCTGGAAGCTTCCTGAAGGCCAGACCGGGTCTCCACCTCCCTGTCCACCCCCATGCCCACAGTCCAGTGGTGCTCAGCCTGGGGACTCAGGGCACTGGGATTTAACGTTACTCAGTATGACATCCGGCAGGATTGTGCCCAAACCTGCTGTGCACTCAGCTCTTGTAAATTTACAAAGCCACTCCTCATGTGTCCTTTCATTTCTTCCTCACCCAAAACCCTGTGTTCAACATCCATGTCCCCATGTCACACGGAAGGAGTCAAGGGCTCACTGAGGGCCAGCATTTGCCCAAGATCACACAGGCTGAGCTTTGGGATCCAGTCTAGAGTTCTGACCCGCCCCTCCCAGTTTCCCTGAGGCTCCCTGGGGTCCCTGACAGGGGCTGAGGCAGGAGTTACAGGGTCCTTCTCTCCCCCCCCAGCCACTACCCTTACTTCATACCTTTGGGCAAAGTAAAGACAAACTTCTTCCCGGTAAGGGCGAGGTTCTGGCCAGGATCCTGCTGCTCAATGACATCGGTGACAGCAGAGCAGGTAGGGAGGGGGTCCCCATCATTTACCTGCAGCAGTACCCCAGCCCCAGAGCCGGCCTGCAGGGGGTTCTCAGCTGTAAGCCGCAGGGCATATCTGCCCTCCTCATTAAACCCCACACTCAAGACTTCGAACTCCAGATCCAGCTCCTTCTCCTCGGCCTTCAGCCTCTGGTATTGCAGGGATGCAGGAACCCAGGGTTCAGGCCCCCTGAAGGCCATGGTCTTGCCAGGGACTAACCCCCAAGCTGAGCACTGCCCCCTCACTCCCACAGCCCCAGCCTGGGCCCCGTGTGAAAGCCTGTACGCCGGGCTCACTGGGCTATACCTCACCCCTCTCTGTTTGTTTGAGGAGAAACCAGGTAACAAGCCAGGAAGCTGGGCCTGTCCTGGGGAACAAAGGCTGCCATTGATCCCACCCTTTTAGCATTTGGTCATTCAACAAATATTTATTGAGCATCTAATGTGTGCCAGGCATTATTTTAGACGTTTGGAATACAGCAGTGAAGCAAATGAAGGTTCCTACCCTCCTGAAGCTTCTCTTCTAGTGGGGGAGGGAGGCTGGGACCCCACTGGGAGGCTGGTATAAAAATAGACACTAAATATGGAAAATCAGTAAATTATAACATATGCTAGAAGATAAGTTCTATGGAAAATTAGCACAGGGTCAGGGATGAGGAGTCCTGGCGTGGGTAGGGGGTAATCAGGACTTCCCATTGTCCAGAGAACCTGTCTCCACATGCCTATTCATTCCCAGGAGTTGTTGAGTTGGGTGGGTGAGAGGGTCTCAAAGGAAAAGGGACAGCATTTGTTCTCTGGGAGCATGGCCTTAGCACCTGCTTCCGGAAGCAATTTACCTTCACAATCAAAACTCACGATATGGGGCACAGCTTCACTTTACAGACACCCCAAAGCTTCTCACACCAAAGAGTTGTCAAGCTGGAACCCATCCTTCCCGATGCCGATACCCGAGAAGAAAAGGGAAATTCTGAACACTCCTCGGTAAGAACCGTCTCTCTACCGTCACCACCACCACCATGACCATCTCTGCTGTCATCACCATCCCCACCATCCCTCCATCTTCGCCTCCAGTATCATCATCATCATCATCATCATCCATGCTACTCTTCATTGAGCAGCAGGCACTCTACGTGGCTCCATGACGTAGATATAATCATTCCCATTTTACAAATGAAGAGTCTGAGGCTGAGAGAATCTCAGATTACACAGCTAGTAAGAAGCTGAGCTGAGATCTGTATCTATACCTACACTCTCCCCTACTAACATGTCCTGGGACTGGCTCAAAGATTGAAATTCATACTATCAGGGGCTGCTGTATCCCAACACCGGAGAAGTACAGTTCTACAGTTCTGAGTCCAAAAAGCACATTTACGGGTAGCATAGATTTCATTTAAGAGTTCATTTGAATTCACCTTGATTGGAATGCATTATTTTCATAAAGTAGGAGATAACCAGATGGTATTGGCCAGCCCCACTAAGGGTCCCAATGTATGTGGTATGCTTCCTCTGCAATGATTAAAAATCCGTTTCTTCAGGTCCCCCAAGGAGAAACTGAGTCAAAGAGGGTTTAGAAGACCAGAGTTCCAGTCACCTGATTTGCACATGAACTTGAGCAGGTCCCTTTCCCTCTCTGGGTGTCGGTGGCCCCGTCTGTACCATAAGTGTGAGTTGGGTGATAAGTCTTCCCACAGCTGTGGTGGCCTGAGACTCTGTAAGTTGTATCGGGAAAGGCCATTTAGGGAAGAGGGTGGGTGGCCTCGGCCACCCGGGAACCTTTGCCTGCATAGCTGGGCCTGACCCACCAGCCTGGGTCCAGAGGCCATGACTTGCCCCTGTTCAGTCTAAGGTCTTGGAGTTTCAGTGATTCAATTGAAGCAGCTCTCTTCCCTTACATGTTTGAAGTGACCCCAAGAGACATTACAAGATGGGAGCCACTCCCTTCTGCCCTGGGGGCAACCCCTGTGCACGCCCATGCAAGCAGGCCCCATGCATACTCCTAGTCCAGTTGGCCATGTCGGTCTCAGCATGGTTTGAGGGCCCTTGACCTCTCCCCTTTCTGGCCTCCCCTCCCCAACTCAGTCCCTGGGGAAGGCTGTGTGTGTGTGTGTGTGTGTGTGTGTGTGCATGTGTATAGTTACCTTTTAAAATTGTGGTCAAGGGGCGCCTGGGTGGCGCAGTCGGTTAAGCGTCCGACTTCAGCCAGGTCACGATCTCGCGGTCCGTGAGTTCGAGCCCCGCGTCGGGCTCTGGGCTGATGGCTCAGAGCCTGGAGCCTGTTTCCCATTCTGTGTCTCCCTCTCTCTCTGCCCCTCCCCCGTTCATGCTCTGTCTCTCTCTATCCCAAAAATAAATAAACGTTGAAAAAAAAAATTTTTAAATTGTGGTCAAATATACATAAAGTTTACCATCTTAACCATTTCTTTCTTTTTTTTTTTATATATGAAATTTATTGTCAAATTGGTTTCCATACAACACCCAGTGCTCATCCCAAAAGGTGCCCTCCTCAATACCCATCACCCACCCCATCTTAACCATTTCTAAGTGTGTTTAGTAGTGTTAAGTACATTCACATTATCGTGCAACCAAACTCCAGAATTCGTCATCTTATAAAACTGAAACTCTACACCCATGAAACAACTCCCCATTCCTCCCTCCCTCCAGCTCCTGGCAACCACCATTCTACTTTCTGTGCCTATGAACGTGGCTACTCCAGGCACCTCACAGAAGGGGAATCACACAGTGTTTGTCCTTTTGTGCCTGGTTTATTTCACTTAGCAGAAGGTCTTGGGAAGGCTCACTTTTGCCCCAGGCCAGGCCTGCCCTGACTCCCCTGCCTGCCTTTGCTGGTGCTGTTTCCTCCGCCCCAATAGCCCAGCCACACCTGGTGTCACCCTGGGTGTCCTGCGGACCAGCTAAAAGCCTCTTCCTCTGGAGCCGGGTCAGTGATTCCCTCCTCTGCCCCACTCTGCACCTTCCTCTTCTGGCTCAAGTGGTGACTTTGCCATACTCGACTGAGTCTTTCTTCAGGGATCATGTCTGTGTGTCCAGGCCAGGGCTGAGCAAGGGATAGGTACCTGGGGGACCATTAAAGCATGAATGAATGAATGAACGAATGCATGAACAAATGAATGAAAGGGTAAATGAATTGATGGACAAGCCCGACTCAGCTTTTGCTTGTACAGAAAATCATACGAAGTGGCTCTTTTGGCTACTTCATCTGGATCCCATTTGTGAGAAGTGAAGACCATTTGGGGCTTTTGACTCACACTTGGACTCAGAGATGCATTCTGGTGCCTCACTGCAGGCTGGTGCCCAGGAGGGAGGGCAGGGGGGTAAGTGGCAGGGCAGGACACAGTGGGTCCTAATGGTCAGGCTTCTCTGGGCCTGGCCTCAGTTCCACAAAGTCTGGAAACCTCAGTGAATTTTAGCAGGTCAGGGCTGGATAGCACTCCCATTTTATGGATAGAAAAACTGAGCCCAGGGTAGCAGACCATGACCAGATCCCTGCTCCCTTCCCAGGATTCTCTCCACTCCCCAGCTGCCTCCCTGATTCAGCCTTCTGTGGTTTTCAAAAGATTTAAACAGCAGGCAGAGGCCTGGCTCCCACAGGAGTCAGGAAGGGGCAGGGTGTGGGTGAGGAGGAGACAGGCAGCAGTGCTGACTTCCAAACTGCCCTCCTCGGCCCAGCATGAGAGGCCTTAATGGAACCCTCCAGTCTTCTTTCTTCCCTGGAAGAATGGCCACTCAGAGGCCATTGGCTTTGTCTGGAAGAGCTGGGCCTGTAATTAGCCCACCTCAGAGGGCCCCTTCCTGCTTCCCACAATGGCTCCTTTCATCCTCTCTTGTTGACACTCCCCATGGCTCCTGTGGGCCCTGAGACTCCCACCTCTATCCCCAAGGAGCCACCTCCAGCCCCCGGGGGGGGCGCCCCCCCGACTCCTGGTCTTTGCTCAGAGCCGAATCCTCCCAGTGGGAACATCTGTGAGTTCCCGGATCTTCCCAATAGTGCTGGCACAGTTATCCCCTTCTACAGATGGGGAAACAGAGGTTCAGAGAGGTCAGGTAAGGGAGTGGAGGGGTGGAGCTGGACCTCAGGCCTTCTGATTCCCAGGCCAGTGTGGTCACATGGTCATCACTGCTCCACCCCGGGACTTCAGCACCCAGCCCCCCTCCCGCGGCCTCTCCCCCAGACCCTCTGAGTGGAACAGTCTCCACACCCCACTCCTTTCAAGCCCACAGCGCCAGAAGCCGCGGGGTGACGGAATCATAGACTCACGCTGGTAAAGTGAAGCATGGCAGCCAGCCTCCCTCCCTGGCACAGATAGGAAAACAGGCCCAGAGCGGGACAGAGCTTCTCTTGTGGTCACTCAGTAGCTGGTAGAGGCAAAATCAGAAGTCTGGTCTCTTCCCTCCACCGATTGTGGGGGGTCAGGGCTGGGGCCTGGCTACCGTGACACTCTCCCCTCTGAGTGGTGCGTCTGATCCAGTCCCCACACCTCCATCAGGCTGTGTGTGTCCTTCCCCTCCTGGCTTCCCGCTCCAGCTCTGGTGCGGAGCACTGGCAGGAGAATCTTGGTCATCCCTACAGCCCTCTAGCTCTGGCCTTCTGCTGAGCGGGAGCTGGGGCTGTGCCCGTGACCCCTGGGCTCACGTGACAGCTCCTCTCTGCCAGCCTTGGCTCAGAAAGGATAAACCTCCTGAGGTAGCAGGAAGGAGAGGGTTCTAGTCTCTCTTGCTGCCTCAGGGACAGCACCGACGACCTTTGCCCTTCCATGCGCCTAGTCGCTCGGCTGTTCTGCTGGCTCTGAGGACTCAAACTCCTGAGCCGGCCTCCTTGGGGGTCCCACAGACTCTGGGGGTTCGGAGACCAGCGCCAGTCCTCCCCCCGGCCCTGGAGGCAGATAGGGCAGGTAAGCGGGGAGGGAGAGACAGGAGCTGGCAGGGGCAGTGCCAGGCTAGCTCACGACAAGGCCAAGGGAGGGTGCCGCCTAAAACCTTCAGGAGGAGAGACAAACTTCACAATCAGATGTAGAGACAGGGAGACAGAGAGGGAAACGAAACAAAGAGCAGGAAAGGGGAATAGAAAAGGGAAAGAGAGAGGAGAGAGAGACACAGAGACTGACAGAGAGTGAGGCAGAGACAGAGAGTGAGAAGGAGAGAGAAAGATGGGGGACAGAGAGACTGAGTCAGACACCGTGAGAGTGGGAGAGAGAGAGAGAGAGAGAGACAATAACAGGGGTGGAAAGAGAGACTGACGGGCAGGGACAGGCAACAGAAGGACGAGGAGACAGAAGGAGAGAAAAAGAGAATGGAGATACTGACAGACAGACCCACCAGTAGGCACCAGTGGGTAGAGGTTCTTCCGTGTTCTCATCAGACACGATGCTGAGAGCTGTGTCTCGAGCCAGCCACTTAACCGACTCTGAGGGCCTTTGCCCAACCCCAGGGACTGGGTTCCAGATGGGGTCCCCCAGTCACAGCAGGGAGCAGAGTCCAAGCTCTGGAAAGGGAGGTTTCTGGGCAAAGAGCTGTGAGCTCTGTATTTGCGTGGGGGTGTCGGGGGAGAGAGGATTTCTGGTAAAACTTCTCCTCGCTCAGCCACTGCCCCTGACATCATGTGGCCTCTCTGGGCCTCAGTTTCCTCTGGATGTGATGGTGAATAGTCTCTGAGATCTCCTCCAGCCCTAAGATCTGGCCTTAGCTCAGGCTCTTTCTTTGCAGCTAATTTACTGCTCTATCCTAGTTAACTCATGACCTCCACCTCATAGTCCAAGATGGCGGCTTGAGATCCAGCCATCACAACTGCATTTCCGCCAGCTGGAAGGAGGGGGAAGTAAAGAAAACATCTCTCTTTTAAAGAACACCTCCTTTGGGAAGTTGTGGCCAACACTTCTTTTTCTATCTCATTGGCCCATATTTAGTTTCAGGTCTGCATCTAAACTTCAAGACAGGCTGGGGAATGTGCTATACTAGGCTGGGGACAGAATCCATTTCACAGAGCTCAATGATGCCTTCACAGCTCCTCTCTCACAGCAGGCTTCAATACAGCCTTACAATGTTTTCCTTTTGCTTACTAGGTAGATAGATAGATAGATAGATAGATTTCAAGCAAGTGAAAATCCCCCTTCATTTCCCCAAACTCTTCCCTCACCCAAGTGTGACCACTGTGAACAGCTTACTGCATGTCTGCTAGATTCATTTTTTAAGGTATTTACAGACACACACACACACACACACACATGTGCACATACCCGGCTTAAAGGAGCATGGAATGGGATTGTGATTTAGGTATTGCTCAGCAACTTGCATTCATGATTATTATACTCGTCCCTATGTCTTGGAGGTCCCACCATGCCAGTCCAGGAAGAAGCACCTCACTCTTTGTGACCGACGATAGTACCTTACTGTACCGACTTAGCAAAGCTCGTCGATGGATGTTGAGCTCGTTGCCAAGTTGTGCAGTATGAACCGCCTTGGGCATCTTCCCTGCATATGTGCACCAGTGCTCTTTGAGGATAGATTCCCGAAAATGGGCCAGAAGTTAATTCTCTCTGTGTTGTAGTTTACCTCTTTCTATGTAAAATATCTTCTCACTGCTGTGCCCCCTCTGTCCGGGGTCGTCACCGTCATGGAAGCCAATCTCACGTCCTAAAGCCTGTGTTCCTTAGGCTGCCCCACACTTTTATTGACTGGACCCCCTTCTCCTTCAGGGAGGTGGAAGGTGTCTCCCCAGGGATCCTTCTCCTGGGAATTTAGGGCTCTGCTTCCGGTCCCCATCTTTATCCCTTGCCTCCCCTCCCTGCCTGCCACAGCACCGCATGTTAGCATCTTCTTAGCCTCCTTCCTCTTTTCCGGTGCTGTTTGCAAAGTCCCCCTTCCCATGGTCAGGGCCCTCAGCCCAGCTGGCCAGCAGCGGGAGGCCGATCTGGTTATTAAAAGCTTAGCTGGTGGTTCCCCTCTGGCGTGGAGCAATTCATCAGGCAGTGGCCCCCCGGGAGTGATGGATGGTGACAAATGAGGGTAGGTAGGGGGTTCCTGAGCCCTTCCAGGGCCACAGCTGGGGAAACTCAGCCATCAAAGCCCTGTGCAGGCTTCTCCACCAGAGGTGACTCTGAGGGCCAGGGAGATCAAGTTTCGGGCAAATGGTTTGGAGGTGGGGGTGGAGAGGCTCCTCCTGAGACAAGCCGTCCTGTGTGCTGTGTGGGGCCCAGCCTGGCTGTGGGCCTGAACTGGAGAGATGGGGGTGGGGTGGGCTTCTCTGATCCTGGAATCACAGGCGGGAGGCCTGGGGGGGGGGGCGGGGGGGCAGGAGGCCTGAGGGGTGGGAGGAGAGGCAGGGCCAGAGCCGCAGAAGGAGGGATCTGCCTTTCCGGGAGGAGGAGATCAAACACCTTCTAAAGCAGGTGCTGGGGACCCTGCTTAGGGCCATCTGCTGAGACTGCACAACCCGCCAGCCTTCCGGGATCCCAGCCAGAGCTGGTGCTGGCTCTCAGAGGAGGAGACCTCAGTTGTTGGGGAGCACCCTGGGGCTGGAGCCAAGCCTTGCGGGCCGGGTAAGACCAGAAGAGGTGGGGGAGCAGGGAGAAGGTACTTCAGTCAGGGGTGGGGGGGTCAGAGCCCCAACAAAGGCTTGGAGGCAGGAAGGTGGCCGGAATGGTAGGGTAGAACAGTTCTGAGGGATGAAGTTGGAGACCTGGAGATGGCTGTACTGGGGAGCTGGCTCTAAAGACAGGGAGACATCAGTAGAGTCGTGTCTGAGTACAGTTTGCTGTGAGAGATTGATGGAGAACCCTGTCCTATGGCCAGCAGGGAACAAGGAGAGAGAGCTCAGAGAGAGAGAGAGGGAGAGAACTCAGGGGACCTGCCCAGAGTCAGTTCCTCAGTGAAGAAGGCAGGCAGCACGAAGTCTATGTGTCAAGGCCCGAGCACGGTGGCACCACTCCAGGGAGCACGTGCTTGGAAGGGAGACTCGGGGCTCTTAGAGCTGAGGGATCTGCACGGCCCTGTGGCCAGTCCTCCTTTGAAGGCAGAAAACCATCTGTGGCATCTTGATGTGACCAGCCTCTTCTTGTTTGCCTCCCCTGATAGGGGACTCACTACTCTGTGATGGTAAGAAAGCTACCTTTGTCCTGAGCTGAAAGCTGCCCCTCTAGCTTCCCTCCTCTGAGTCATTTCTAGCCTAGCGCTCCGGGAGGGGAAGAACATGTCTCTCCCTGCAACAGCCGGCTACCTTCCTCCTACTTCTCACCCGGGTTTACACTCATACCAGAGCAGGCTGGCCGAAGTCCCTCATGTATGATGATGTTGTTGGTGAGGGGGAGGGGAGGATTCCAGAAAGGGCATGTCAGGTGATGCTTCTGATGCTCCCACGTAGCAAGGGAGGTAGGAGGTAGAGAGGTAAGAGGTAGAGAGCCATCCACACTCTCCTCCCAAGAGCTTAGTAGCTGATAACATGCCCTCCAGCCACTGAAAGGGGTCAGGCTCCATCTGGGGGCAGGTTATGAACCTGTGTGTGTCAAGGGCAATTCGATACACAGGCACTGTGAGAACAGACCCAGAGCTCACGGGCCTGCATAATGTTGAACCTGCACCGGCTGCCTATCCACGGGGGACCCCGGGGGCGGGGCCCAGCTGCACAGGCAGGCACATTCCCACTCCCTACTCCCGGGCCAAACACCCCTTGGGCATTCTCTGCTGTGCTGCTGGGGACTGGGGGTGTTGCTGAGGTTCTGACTTGTCACTGAGGTTTGGGTGTTGTGGAACTTTTGTGGGGTGCAGTTGAACTCGGAGAGCCCAGAGCAAGGATGGGAGGGTCGTGGGCAATGGGGTCTCTGGACCTTCTGCAACTGCTCACCATGGTTCTGATCAACCTGTGCTTGATTTGCCAGTGTCTAAGGGTCCTTGGATTGTGGCCAAGGTTCTGGGATCCGGTGTGATACTGAAGTTCTGGGCGTTCATGGGGGTGATTCTGTGGTTCCAGGAGTTCTTGTGGTGTTACTAGAATTTTGAGGATATTACTGAGATTCTGGACGTGCTCTGGAGGACCTGGGATTCCTTGGGGGTATTTCTGTGATTTGGGGGATGCTGCTGGCCCTCCTTATTCCCTCTGGCCCACTGTCAACTCCCTCTAAGCCTAGCACTTTGCCCTTTGAGGATTTTGATAGCCACAGGCTGCTGAAGGCACACATGTGGGCCTCTGTTCCTGGATGCAAACATTCCTGAGATTTAATCAACTTGAACAAAAACATGGGGAGGAAGGAAGCCCTGTCGTCCCAAGGTCCCAAGGCCTTCGTGGGCCAGCTCCAGCCCTCGGGGCAGAGCAGGGCAGCCCTGTGCCAGGCCCAGGTAGCAGATGGCCCTTATCTTCCCAGAGCGCAGAAGCTTTTCGTGACCCCCTCCTACAGTGAACAGGGCTTAGCCACCTCCCAATCTGTGCCCAGCTGGGAGCTCTGGCCTGGGCTGCCCCTTAGGTATTTGCATCAGCCTTATCTGATTGTGCCCACATGGGCTTATGCAGGTCACAGCTAAGTGGCCCTGACCCCTGCCCTGTCTTCTTGCCTTCCAGACTCCCCTTCTCAGCTCTACTAAGACACCTCATTCTTACTCTCATTGCTGACCCTGTCTGACCTCAGGACCCTGCTCCAAGCCCCCTCCTCCGGGAAGCCTCCAAGACTGCCCAAGACA